CAACCTATTTATCTAAATTGTTATAATAAAAAATGTAAGCTTACCGGTCCGGATTTGTTTTTAACAGGACATTCTACAATATACCTATTCATTCCTAATTTGTAAATGCTTTATGAAATAAATCCACTGTTATGTATTCATAGTATTTAATAATCTTCTGATGAGTGTGAAATAAAAGCCTTATTTTCCAACGTCGTCATTACGGTTCTTCTAGAAATATTGTCGGATTGCTTTCAAGCTCTCCTAAAGGAATTCTCTTATGATAACAAGTCTTTGTTTTGTGTACTTTGTTTTGTTGTTGTTGTTTTTGTTTGTTTGTTTTTTTTATCAATTATAATTGTTTTTTAAATTTACTTTTTTCATTTCTTAATTCATTTTTTTATTAATCAATTATTGATTACTTTATTTTGTTTTAAAGGGACTCCACTGAAGTTTAACAGTCCAAAAACATAACATTTGAACTTCTTACATAAATGAGCTGGGGCACTTAAAACAGACATATATGCAAAGATATTTAAGAAATATACTTTGAGATAAATTGAAAATCGTATTTATATGGTTTTCATAGCCCGATTTGATTGTAAAGCGTTTAAACGCTTTTCATTTTTGGTCATTTTTTCACAATTGGAATAATTATTCTGGAAAAACGAAGTGCGCGAATGATCTGAGATTTTGCACAAAGATTAGTGATCTAAACCTACATCAAATGGTACATTTATCTGGAAAAAATATTTTCAGTCCCACCATGTCAAAATACCTCAGTGGAGTCCCTTTAAAGTTAGGTGGTTATAAGGGTTTGAATGGGGCTTCATATTTCATAAAATATAAGTTATTAAAATTGTGTAAAATGCCTCTAGAATAATCTGAAAACACGTATATTGTTTTAGATAAGTGTATTCATAAAATATATGAAGCAGAACTTATTTGACTGATATGATTTTGTTTTCTTACAAACAGAACATTTGAAATACATTTTGCTAGAGTTTTTAGGTTGCACGTACTAATGTTCTGGTTAACATCTATCAAATTATAGGAATGAGTTGTTTATATACCTTCTTATGAACAAAAAACAGGTTGCCTACATCTGTATTAAATATCTGTCAATTAGTTAAACTGTAAAACGGTAATAATAAGACATTAAGAAATGTTTGATACCCTTGCTATAGAGTTTAAAGTTCTTCTTACGGCCATTTCCGCGTCAATGATACGTATTTAACATTTGGAAATATTTATGAAAGGCTTTGAAGCTTCGTTCTGGTAGTTATCTCTGTATCCTTTAATTCATAATGAATGTTTTTACATTTTTACATTGACAATGTATAATGTTTGTAAATCTGTTTGTAGACTACTTTACAAAACCGGACATTCATCACATTAACCAGTTATAAGGTACAAATCTTTTTATAGAAATATTTATTGATAGTTTTTAAAATGCACATCAAATCTGCCTATGTCAACGCAAGTCAGTTTGTTTACTTTTTCAATAGTGAGGCCCCATTTGTTTAAAGAACGCACGGGAACGCAAAGTTTGCACGATTACTAACTATAATAATTATCAAGAAGAAGACATCAGGGAGTTCTTTTTACGCACTTTCAAAAACTTTTTGTTGGGTATTTTTTTATTGTTTCTTGGCATTTCGTTACATGAATACCACTTAGCATCAAGGTCAATGTCACATATATGGAATTAGAACGTGACCGCGTAATAAGAGATAGTATTAGTGATATAATAAATTCTGATGTTGAACTGTAAGTGTTTCGAAATGTTTTTCTTAACGGATTGCATTCCCTTTGTGCTGAGGGGTTTCTTTTAATGGTTGAGGCATCTGTATTGCAGCCACCATTTATTTCTGCCCAACTAAATTGGTTGGAATTACTGAAGTATATGAATCTAGTAGCTCCAGCTGGTGAGGTTTTACTTAAGTTTGTAACATACAGGTAAGCCAAAATCATCTTTCCTGTTCGGCGCCATATGACCTTAACTGTGTTGGTGGACCGTAAAACCAAACCAAACCGAACATATCAAACAGAACCCGATCGCAAGTAGACAACCAGCCGATTGAAACAATGATAAATCTTAACGAAAGTTGGCATGAATAACACATTTTATGGTTGTGCAAATTAAAACAATTGTTGCGTTTAGTTCTTGTTTTGCATACTAGTATACCTTGATTAAAGTAATCTTTTCAATAAGATAGTTAAAATTATACCACTCAGATGAGTTTTGTTTGTGCAGCAGTCGCTTGCCCTTTGAAGGTCATCTGTCACCTGGACGTACGTGATTTTCAATGAAAAAAAAAATGAAAATAATACTTTTTTTCTAACGTATGTTCATTTGTTCTTCACAAATAACGGCTTTTTTTTATAGAAGTTTCTTTTATAACAATATAATTATATTGTAAATAAAATAGACGAATTTGAACATTTTGATGAAAATTTAAAATTAATTAAAGGCGGAAAATATTGTAAAAGAGCTTATTGCTCGACTCGTCATATTCACATAGATTCATAGATTTTAGGATGACACTAAAGTTTTAACCATGTTATATTAAGCTAAACCTGAAAGTCATGGGTCGTTAGGCTGTATGATGTTAAATTATGAATACCGACAAAAAATGAAGAGCGCTATTCACGAAACACATCCCCTAATGATCTCCAGTTGGACTAACATTTTCAATTTTGCTTTTTCTAACCATTTAGGTTTCCACTGAACGTCACCTTACTGTTAAATGTTGAATTCTGCTTAAGCCGGTGCTAGAAGGCATGGACGGTAACTTGCACTTTCTAGTACCGTCAATGAACAGGCACAATCAAACCGAGCCTTCAACATTTTCAATTTTGTCGTGTTGGGCTTTCTTTAGGGATTTTGTTTTTCTATATTTTTTTCAGGAATTTAATATTTTTAATATTTAATTCAGGAAACGACTTTAGTAGATTTCTATATTAGAATATAGATTATGTCAATTAAATATTAGAAAATATAAAGAAATATAAAAAATCCCTAAAGAACGCACAAAACGACAAATTGAATATGTTAATGTACAGGCGATTATTGAACAATGTTATTTGCTTCGGAAAGTGTTTATTTGATCAATGAAAAAATACATATTTTATACATGTTTATCTGACGTTGGTAGAACCCATAGATTTTCTTGTTACATTTGTCTAAAATTCAATTCGACTCGTCGCCTATGGACACGGACAAAATGTTTATTTAAATACAACTGTACTGCATTAAAAATTCAGTTACATTTGTGATATTGAATTGCAATTGGTCCTGTGTGACCGGGCGTTTGCGGATTCCTTGTTTCGTAAACGGTTAGTGCTTTTGTTGACCATTGTGTTTACTTTTGCTGTTGCGAGTTCGTACTTTTATACTTTCTTATAATAATGGTACTAAGATTGCCTTCCGCTTCAGTTACACCTAAATTTATTTTCATTTTGTCTATGTCATTTCTCATTGTATCATGATTTGAAGTCAGTACAGCCCTCATGATAAACTTTAAAAATAACTTAGCTGAAAGTAAATCAGTGGATATTTTGAAATGCATTCCTTTCACTGACAGATGATGCAACTTGTTCCGCCATAATTTCGACACATCCATCACATCAAACGAAGCACGAACCAGACGCATTACATTGTTCTTATAGCAGTTGGTCTGATAATTAAATGAGGTTGCGGGGGAACATTTAATAGTGATCAAGCGGTAAATTATCAAAACATATCTTAAAAGGAAGATTGATGTGGAAAGAAACAGTCCGTAAAATTGAAATCACAATTTGTGTACATTGATATTAAAATCCTAGGTGTTTCAATGTTGTATTCCAGAACTTACGCTAAAATGTATACGTAGTTTATGCTTTGTTAGAAATGATAAAACTCTTTAAATAGCTAAGCATTATAAACGATAAAGAGATGTTATATTTGAGAATAATGATAATTCCAACAGCTCTCAACTACTTGCATTTAAAGTACAATATTAGTTTTATACATTGGACATTGTAGTTAAATGAAACAAAAACATATAATTTTTTGAATGAATGGTAGACACAGAAGGTCGTATGTTCGTTTGCATATAATTTTGAAGAAACCGAAAACTTTTTCGTGTAACTCGTTTGTTCATGTAAGCAGCATATCTAGGATAATTGAAGGATCGGTTAATGATGGAGAATACCGATTAACGAACAGACTGAATTAACGAAGTTGTCACGTTTTCCAAACTTTCAATATCAGAAATGAAGTTTGAAATTGAATAAAAATCATGTTTTAATCGCATGATTTTATAAAAAAAAAAATAGAAAACGAGACGAATCGTACTAAAACTTAAACACTTTATGCCGTTTAGAATTGTCATTGATGTGCTACACAAAAGAAATGGAATTTCTAAACGCCTAAAACGGCAAAATTGAATGTACTGGGCGACATTTTAACTGCCTCCACATGGCAAATACAACACTATTGTGCCACAAGCTTGTTTGTTAACAATAATTACCCAACATTGCCTCCACATCTTCTCTTTACAGGTGTTTAATGCTAATAATTATGTTTTATTTTTACAAACAGACAATAGTCATGTTTGGCGATATTCATACTGTAATATAATTGAAGCAAAATGTACAACTAAAACGCTTCTAGCACAGGCTTAAGCATCATTTAATGATCCCAAAGGACCAAATGATTTTTAATACTAAGGTATTTTTAATTAATAATACTAAAAACAATACAACAAGACATGTAATGTTCATAAATATTTTGTAATCACTTCAATTTGGCATGATAAAGATTGTTTTTAATTATGTAGGCATACATATACCATGTTCATAATCCAATACACTTTTAAAATCTACTAAGCCATTTTGTATGTTATGTTAACAATGCAATGATGATTATCATATTGATACTCAAAAAGCTAATAAGGTAAAGTTGAAATAAGTTCTTGGCAGTTAAAAGTGATATCACATCCTTGCAATCCGACAAGAAATACTGTACCACTGTATTTTGTATTAACAGTATATTGAGTTAGGTATAATATCATAAATTATGATGGTTTTGGTATTTCAATCTTTGAATATTCTGAGCATGTATCAACAATAGCCTACACTATAATTTATACTTCTATTTATGCGACAGCAGAAATGCTTTTACCCGTTTCCACTTTTGTTGTGTGTATGTAAAATTCATATAATACAATGTTGTATATTTTTCAGCTTTCATCGGATCTTTGTTCTGACATCAATGCAATACTTGAAGATCTATTAACAGGCTCTAATTTAATGTAATCCCTATCCATTGCTAGTATAACTCTTTGTCCACAGCCATTCGTAAGTTTCCTTCGCTCCTTGCTTAATTCGCCTAAATTTTCATAGTCTAATCTGCTTCTATTACCGTTAAGGTATGGCTTAGCACCCCTTTGTGAATGAACAGTTCTCGTTTGGAAAGTTCCATTAATTTTAGCACTTTGTTTGTACAGACTTTGGCGACGAAAGACAACGGTCTCATAAGTTGAACCACTAGAATGTCTTGGTAACATTCTTGTAAGGCAAACACAGCAGGGAAACCACATGTAAAACAATGTCACCAAGTCCGCCTGAAATAGAAAGTATACATATAAGACAACACTGTAAACATATGGATACTCGTTTTTTTCTAATCTTAGTTGACATCAAATTAATTACTAGGAACTAGATTGTACGTGGTTAGTCATGAGTAAGCAGTGAAATATTTTTTATTTTTTCCATCTTTTCTTACTTAATTAACTGAACGCAAAACTTTATTGCTGCTTACTCTAGAGATTGTACAGCAACTATAATTACTCTCGTTCATGAAAAAACATGACATTTTCTTTTAGGCTTCGTTTTATTTCTACAATTGCTCTGATTTAACTTTGTCAATGTAATTATAATTTATATTTGCTCATTGCCGCTGAACAGCTAATGTTATAAACTTTGATCATGTCGCAAAGAATGCTAAAAATGTTAAAGGACAAAACAATTTTTCTTTGGGTCATTTAAAGTGGTTTAGTCTACAATGGGAACATTTTCATAAGTATTTAAAATAATAGATGAACACAACAGAATTGTATCATTTGGATATTTTTTTTATAAAATATTTCTTGAAAAAGTTCAAAGTGATTTAGTTTGAACATCTTTATGATAAATAATAATATTTTGTTCTAGAACATTTTATTATCTCCTATATAAATATGTGTAATATCGGACCATGTATCTCTCACTTGCCAACAATATCCATATATAATTATTTCGTTATTTCATGTTTTGTCTGATACTACATACTTTCAACTTAATTATTTATTGTATTGCAAACCTTCCATTATAGACCAATTCACTTTAAGTCATTTCAAGTTTTTATCAGATAATCCTGACAATGGGATTCAATTTCCTACTAGAGCACGGAGAACGGACAAATGTACATGAATATTAGATGAAAATAATGGATAACACGCCAAAGTTAAAAATAAAATATGATATATATCTACGAATGTAGTTCTCCAAATCAAATGCAAATTGTATCGTTTATAACAAAAGTAATCAAAAAACCTTACCCTAAAACTTTCATTTGTGAAACCGTAGATGATTGGATTTGCAAAACTATTTGACATCGCCAGCCAGTGAAATATTATAAATAATGTTGTTAGCGTCTCCATGGACACGGTTTTGAAGAGTTCTGGGCGAAAGTCAAGAAGCAGAATGAATAGATGAAGTGGGAACCAGCAAATTCCAAACATTGCAACAACAATTATCAGCATCTTTACTACCTGAAAATATATTAAACTTCTTGTTATATATAGGATTTTACCAGTTTTCACTTCTAAAATTATTTTAAATGTTATGGTGTTAGCATCTGCACTTAAAAATATTAGATAAATTTGTTCTTTACCGGACAATTACATGATACATCATAGTACATGAAAACAACCTTTATCATTGCAAAGTATCTATTTCACACAATACTGAAAAGATGAAGATGTATAAATACGTCTATGCAAGTACTTTAAATTCTTATCTAGTTGATGTATCATAATCTAAAAAACTATGAAATCAACTTGCAAGGTACAATTTCATTTTTTTACAAATAGATTATATAGAAAAAATGACTAAATTGTTAGTTATTGCAACTTTCTATTATTTCAAATTTCCTGATAAAACTTGTTACAAGTTCGTCAGTATTGGTTCATGAGCACGTGCACAATGTTCTGTAATGATATCATTCACAGTTGAAGAAAACATAACTGATAACTTAAATAGATGTTATGGCACAATCAAGGGATAAATTAAGATATTTATACGCTATGTGTTTTTCGGATAACCAGTTTCTAAGACGTTGAGCATTCTTTAGGGATTTTGTTTTATGTCCTATTTGTTGTCAAATGATTATTTACGATACATAAATATACTAAAGCTGTGTTTACAAATCGCATAGAATGACACTTTGCTTATTATATAATATAGATAGAAAAAATATAAATTTTCGTTCTGTCGAAGCCTGTAATTGAAAAACAATCGTAACAATGCAGTTATCATCGCATCTCATTGGAAATGGTTATAGTGTTTTCATTATAATATCATACAAACACAAATGATATATATCTGTTGACAGTGGCCTATAACATCCGATTTTGAAACATCCAATAAGCATTTTGCCTTTGTTTAATTAGTCAAAATAAAAAAATGAGCTCCGTATAACGGATAAATGATGTAACGTTTATAATACACTTTCGGCAGTATGTTGAAACATCTGGTTTGAAAGTTTTACATCATATTTTCATGTCATGCTAGAAGGGAAAAGGCGCACTAGGAGTAATTACATACAGTAATTAAAACAATAATTCCTGATCTTCACTCGTACATAGATCCATCATCATCTCATATATTTGCTTATAGTTGACGTTTTGGAATTAAGGAGTATGATTTAGATTAAGTTCTGGTATTTAATGTTTTGGCAGCATATACTGTGGATTAACCATTTTCTTGCATTACACTCTTTAACCGTACAAAATGCTTACAAACTTCACAGAATGTAAACCTATTATTGAATACAAGCACGCCAACAACCAACTTTCAGTTTCATCTTTTGAGTGCATTTTAATTACTTCACATTTGAGACAGAACGGGTGTGAACAGACCTGCGATTGTCTCTAAAAGCTAAGTTAATTTAATATAGCAGAATTATTCATAATATATGTGAATTGTGCTTGTTATTATTATAATTCGACTGATGCTAAATAATTATTATAAAAGGAGAACTGTGAGTGAAATATGTTCTTCCGAAATATTGGCAAATTAGACCATTGCATTTGCTTGAAAGTATGCAGACAGATCCAAGCTTATAGCATCAATAAGTTTTGGCTATAGAAATGACTTACAGATGTTAAATACATCAACAAATAGATTGATTATGATTTCTAACAGGCAATTAGCATTTAACACCTTACTTTATCGTATTTTATTACAGACGCTTTATCATTAAAATTGTTACAAAAGATAACTTCATCATAGTGATACATTATCATATATTTTACATTTATATAATTATTATTTTATAGGAACCGATCTACACGGTGGATTTAATGGCGATCTTTTTATACAAAGTAAGACTGTTGTAACCCAAATGCATTTACATATCGATAAAGCAACCCCACCACTAGCTTATATTTGCAATTGATTTTTTTTTTAAATTATTGTTTCAAGAATTAAAATAAAACTTCTGTTAATAATGTCGTTATAAGTATACCTCTGTTGTCGTTCATGTTATATATGTATGCTGTAATTAGGTGCGGTTGAGACCGTGCTAATTTTTATTTACTTTTTGAAAACATTTTGAACGCATATAACTCCCTCTTCATATTCCCCACCTTCTGTGGTTAATTTCGTAAAATTATTAATAAGACAGAGAGTTTGATGAAATTATTCATTCTTTGAATTATCAACAGAACCTAGTATGAATTATTCTAACTTATACTTCTTTATTATCTAGAGGACGTATTTTTGGAAAAAAAGTTTGTTCATTGATGCTAGATAAGATCTGCATTTGAGATGATTTTGTCACGATAAACTAGTCGCACAGCTAACATATTCAAAGACAATAATAAGCAAATGCAGGAAAAAAGCAACATCTGAAATCTTGCTTTCATGATACTTGAAAAAACGTAACAGTTATTTATCTCTACAAAACACATAATTTTATTGCTTAAGCTATTGTTATATATTTCCTTGTACCGGGAAAGACATGAACAATGAGTATCCCTATGTTTTCGTTAAATGCCAATTAAAATAATGTATTAAGCTCGTGATAAAACCTCTATGCAACGTTTATATTTTTATGAAAATTTAATCACCATTATGCATGAGCAAGAAACATAAATTTTCTCAAAATCATAAAGAATCTTATACAAATTGCTACGGAACAGCTTGATAGTTTCTTCATGAAAAACTTACACTTAAGTTTAATATCAAATGGCATGTAAATGAAGCAAATGATATTTTTTGTCTTCAAATATATACGATTTATTACTTACATCTAACCAGTTTCAGACACAACGCCTCGGACATCTGGTGGTAACTATTCACAACGATAAACATAAAAACTATCAATAAAGAGCAAAAGATGTGTTTCAGGCCCAATCAAGCTACCGTTCACGCCCACTAGCACCGGTTAACCTTTGAGGGCATCTTAATATGTGTACACAGTACAGATATCGCAACATAACAAGACTAAGAGTATTATTCCTAATATTCATAATAAGAGAAATACTTTTGAGAAAGTGAAACAATGAAAAGCGTTCATATAATAATGTGTAAATAATCTACATTTTAAACCTTGCAAATTGCAAATAAAGCTGATATGAAATAGACAAGAACTAGCATTAAATATTAATTAAGTTGTTTTATTTTCCTTAGAGCAAAATGTACCAAACACATTCTTAAACAGTATTTGCCTTAATCAAACATGTGTTTTGTTACTTTTTAATTAATTGTCAGGGAGGAACACATCTGATTAAGTTTAATCTATAGGTATTTACAAAGAATGATAGCATGTGCATTCTATAAAATGCATGGAAATGGCGTACTTGATTGTTACATGCACGTAGAAATATTAAGAGTCTTAACAATTATGTGTATTTTTATTTCCAGTCATTCATTTTTAACATGTTTTTAATTAATTAATTTAATTAATTTAAACATGTAAAAATTGTTTTTTCATTGCATCTGATGTGTATATATTATGTGCAATGTCCTAAAGTGCATTCAGTGCTTGTCTAATATTTATAACATTCTGTTAAAAATGTCCCGTGATAGATAAGACTCGCAATCAATGAGAGAAACTGATATCGTGTAAATATCTTATGCAAACCGCTTGAAGGCTTTACCGCCTACATAATTAAGAAGATATTTGAGCCGCGTCATGACAAAACACACATAATGGATTTGCGACCAGCATGGATCCAGACCAGCCTGCGCATCCGCGCAGTCTGATCAGGATCCATGCTGTTCGCTATCATTTTCTCTACTTGATATAGTGTTTGTAAGCGAACAGCATGGATCCTGATCAGCCTGCGCAGGCTGGTCTGGATCCATGCTGGTCGCAAACGCACTATGTTGGTTTTGTCGTGACGCGGCTCATTTGCAGTGTGTACATTACTATCAATATATCATTGTTACACATATATACAAGTGTTTCGTAATTTATCTGTTCTTATTTCCAAATTTGATATTTTTGGATTGATAATAAAAATGAAAACTAAATGAATTAAATTTGTATATCTTGAGAAAAATATATTCATTATTTTGTTAAAACATATTTTATTTAGTAATTTTACAAGCTTGTATCATTTTACATCATATATATTGGAAAACAAGCATCAAACATATTTATATCTTCCCATATTCGTATTCATTACTTTCATTAGGCATTCCTGTGCAGTTTTATTCTTCTATTTTAAGTGATATAAAAAAAAAACTGACCATTTAATTTCATAATAAATAATGTCATATTTTCAAGATTATTAAGCAAAACTAAATTCAAAACAATATATCATCTTAAACTGTATGTTTAGACATTTGTATGGCGTAGTAACAGACAATATATTTTCAGCTTTGTCTGTTACTTGAACATGGACGCCTACTGTCTCGACTGCTGTTGAACCTATGCCAGTGTATATGCAACACTTCACGGAAAACACAAAACATAAGAATCTTTGGTCTTTAAATCAAGAGTATTTACTAAGAAAAGCTGCAAGAAAAGCTGTGAGTGATTAATTGACAAGAAGCAGTTTCTCTTATTATAACTAACAAGAATTGACAAAATGATATTAGACATTCATGGGGAAATGAAGAAAATAATTTGTTTTAAGTGATCCGGAAGAAACGTGCTTCAGTCGAATTGGTCTAAAATGAAAGGTCTGTATTAACATAAATAGTTATGATGAGGTATTTAGTACCATTTGTGCAAAAACATAGAATCTTTTTTTCTTTTTTTTTTTTGTAAATGACATTAAATATTGTATATGAAATATTATATTTCACCATATATTTGTACTAAATAACCTACAACTCTTCTTTCAACATTTTTTTTTTCAAAAAATGTTAAGAACTTCAAAATGATACATTTCCATTTTTTTATCAATATTGGAAATATTGGAAATGCGATCATTGTAGACCAGACCATATCAATGTATATATGATCGCTTAAAGTATACATACATGGAATCACAAGAGTTGCTTATGAAAAACCATAGCAGTTTTGTTCTTAGTTTTT